TGCGGCGCCAATGCAACCGGAGTGTCTTTTCTCCCCCCCTCTCCCTGTCCTGTCTCCCCCTTTCTCCTCTTACCTCCCCCTCCCTTCCACAATTACACAATATGAATGCTACTCTCCTCTCTCCCCTGGTGGCGTCCAGGGAATGTCTGGCCCCCCTCCGCGTACGGTTTTTTTACACAGGATTCCTGGGAGTTGGGTTTTCGCTGGGTTTTTTTCAGCAAGCTGCTCTCGCTGAAGCGCTGGCCTCATTTTCGAGCTCCCGCTCGTTCCGAATCGTGCTCCCGCTGCAGCGCTGGCCTCATTTCCGCGCTTCCGCTCGTTCCGAATCGTGCTCCCGCTGCAGCGTTGGCGTCATTATTTCGAGTGCCATGCCCCGTCATGTTTTTCGGTCCTTCCAGATAGGCTCCCAAATCAAGAAAATGCCCCCCGAAAAATCCATCGGAAGTGATTCCACATTCGGTGTCGATTCGTTGATTTTTTTGGCCGCGGAAGCCTCCCCCCCCACTTTGGGGCGTCGCCACGCCAAGCTATGTCAGGCGACGCGTCCTCATTTCCGCGCTTCCGCTTTTTTTTGGTTTTATTGTTGTCAAAGTGCTGCTCTCGCTGAAGCGCTGGCCTCATTTTCGGGCTCCCGCTCGTTCCGAATCGTGCTCCCGCTGCAGCGCTGGCCTCATTTCCGCGCTTCCGCTCGTTCCGAATCGTGCTCCCGCTGCAGCGTTGGCGTCATTATTTCGAGTGCCATGCCCCGCCATGGTTTTCGGTCCTTCCAGATAGGCCCCAAAATCAAGAAAATGGCCTCCCGAAGAAACCATCGGAAGTGATTACACCATTCGGTGTCGATTCGTTGATTTGCTGGGCCGCAGAAGCCCTCCCACCTTGGGGCGTCGCCACGCCATGCCATGTCATGCGGCGCGTTTGTCTCTGACACCATGCTATGCCATGTAATGCTATGCCATGCTACGACATCCGACTCTGCGCATAGAGAGGAGATCTACGCCATGGTGAGGGATGGGAGGAAGGGGCAGGACGTCGGGTCTGACGCGAGCGCGCCTGGCCGGCCCTCCCCCCTCCCCCTGGCTCTGCTCCCGCTTCCTTCCTCCCGCGCCGGGGCGCGAACGCGGCCGGCCACGTGCCCCGCGTGCCCCCGCCAGCCCCAGTGAGCGCCGCCACGCGCGGGGCCCGTGCCATCCACAGCATCCAGTCTCCAGCCGCCTGTCTCGGGGAACATTCTCCAGTGCGGCACGCGCACCGTGCGTTCACTGAATGCACGCCTGCTGCGCACGCGGCAGTCGAGAGGACGGCCGGTGGGTTCAGGAGGCGGAGGAGGAGGAGGGAAGATGTGGAGGAGTCGGAGGAAGAAGAGCAGAACCATCAGGAGTGACGTGGAGGATTCAGGAGGATAAGGATGAGGACGAGGACGAGGATGACGACGACGACGGTGATGCTGATGCTGATGCTGATGCTGATCTGATGCTGATGCTGCTGCTGCTGCTGATGATGATGATGATGATGATGATGCTGATGCTGATGCTGATGCTGATGCTGATGCTGATGCTGATGATGATGATGATGATGATGATGATGATGATGATGTGGATGATGATGCTGCTGATGATGATGTTGATGCTGATGCTGATGCTGCTGATGATGATGATATACTTATTGTTGCTGTTGCTGTTGCTGTTGCTGTTGCTGTCGTCGTCGTTGTCGTCGTCGTCGTCGTCGTCGTCGTTGTCGTTGTCGTTGTTGTTGGTGTTGTTGCTGTTGTGGTTGTGGTTGCTGTTGTTGTTGTTGTTGTTGTTGTTGTTGTTGTTGTTGTTGTTGTTGATGCTGTTGTTGTTCCTGTTGTTGAATTCTCATCCTAAGTAATAATTGGTGTTGATCCCCCCTGCCCAGTAACCAGTGTATCTTTCAAGTTAAAGTGCTTCTCGCGGGGCTCGCACTCGTGTTTTTACAATGAAAGCGAGGTGTCACCAAACTTTGCCCCTGGCCCCCGCTTTACAACAACGGCTCCCGCCTGATATTTCCTCACAAGTTGTTCCCAACTCTTGCTCTCGCGCGGGACCTCCTCGCAACTTACACAGGAATTGCGTTCTCGCGTGGTAGTTGTCACAATTTGTTCAGACGCCGCGCCGTCGACACTCAGGAATCGCGCTATCGCTGTGACATTCTTTTCGATTTACTTTGGCATTTTGCTATCGCTCGAGGTTTCCTCGCGATTCATGCAGGACGCACGCTTCAGCAACCCGCTTGCCCTTTGTCCCTTTGTCCCTGCCCGAGTGGTTGCACGAAATACACGTTGCAAGTAAGAACGATCTACCCTCAAGGGGGTACGATCGAAGACGAAGAGGGCGGATATCGACGGGTTAATATATACGTGTTGACTGGCACGCGAGCAGGTAAGAGCGAGTTGTCGTACATTGATTGGAATCGCTTCCGTGCGACCTCGCCTCGACTCTGGCCGCAATTCCTCTTAAAACGAGGCTCCCGCTCGAGCGCGGGCTTGATTGTAAATGTGTGCCCTTGGAGGCACGGCTACAACGACAACAGCACCCGCTCGATACTCCTTCACACTTTGCTTTGTGACACCCTGGCCAGAGAGGCTCCCGAACTCAGGGAAGGCGCTCGCTCGAGATTTCCTCGCAGTTCAGTTAAGTTGGCGGAGGCCCAGCCACGACGACAAGGGCTCCTGCTCGATACTTCCTCACGGTTTACTCCGAGAGCCCCTGGCCAGGAAGGCTCCCGAACTCAGGAACGGCGCTCTCGCTCGAGACTTTCTCACGATTCCGTCAAATTGGTGGGGACCCAACTACGACGACAAGGGCTCTCGTTCGATACTTTGTATTCCCAGAGGCCCTGGCCAGAGAGGCCCCCGAACTCAAGAGTGGCGCTCTCGCTCGAGACTTTCCCGCAAGTCAGACACGTTGGTGGAGGCCCAGACACGGCGACAAGGATTCCCGTTCGGTATTTCTCAATCTGCATTCCGAGAGCCCCTGGCAAGAGAGCCCCCCGAATTCAGGAACGGCGCTCTCGCTCGAGAGTTCTTTGCACTTCAGTCAGTGGCCGACACGGAAGATATTCCACCCGAAACGGGGTGCGAAGACGAAGTGGGCGGGTATCGAGCGTTGGGGTATACATAATGCAAGAGCGTTGCGTGTCAGTAAGAGCGATCAGTCTTAACATGATTGTTGCTGTTGTTGTGGTGATGGTGGTTGTTGTTTAAGCTGTAGTTGTTGTTGCTGTTGCTGTTGTATGTGTTGTTGCTGTTGTTGTCGTCGCCGTCGTCGTTGCGGTTGTTGTTGTTGGTGTTGCGGTTGCTGCTTCAGCTGCTGCTGTTGCTGTGGTTGTTGTTGTTGATGTTGGACTGATGCTGATGCTGCTGATGAGGTTGACCATGATGATGGAGATGTTAATGATGCTGAAGAGGCTGATGATGATGCAGATGCGTACGATGATGATGCTAATGATGACGAGGAGGATGATGCTGCTGGTAAGGATGATTATGATGATGTTGCTGATGCTGATGCTTGTGGTGGTGACGATGATCATGATTATGATGATGATGCTTATGAGGATAGGCATGTTCGTGATCCTGATGTTACGAATGGTGAGGGTGACGCTGATGGTACTGTTTACGATGACGATGTTGTTGATGCTGAAGATGGTGTTGACGTGGATGTTGATGATGCTGCTGCTGCTGTTGATGAGGATCATGGCGATGCTGCTGATAACGATGATGTTGTTGATGATGATGATGTTTATGATGACGATGACGATGTTGGTGCTGGTGATGATGCCGCTGGTGCTGCAACTGATGAGGCCAATGGTGCTGACGATGCTGATGATGATGATGCTGATTGTGATGCTGCCGCTGATGATGAGGCTGATGATGCTGAGGATGCTGATCATGCTGATGATGCTGATGATGATACTGATGCTGCTCAAGATGATGATGATGATGATGATGATGATGATGATGATGATGATGATCATGATCATGATGCGGAGGAACATGATGATGCGGAGGAGGAGGAGAAGGAGGGCGATGCGGCTGCTGCTGCTGATGATGCTGCTGCTGATGATCATGATGATGCTGGTGCTGCTGCTGCTGCTGATGCTGATGCTTCTGATGATGGTGATGATGCTGCTGTAGTTGTTGATGATGATGATGATGATTCTGTTGATGAGGATGATGATGTTGAGGATGAGGAGGATGATGATGATGATGCTGATGATGATGATGATGAGGATGATGCTGATGATGCTGATGATACGGGCTACCCTGATGCTGCTGATGATCATGATGCTAACGATGATGGCGCTGATGACGATGATGCTGCTGCGGATGATGCTGATGATGCTGCTGATGATGGTGATGTTGATGATGATGATGCTGATGCTGATTATGATGCTGATGCTGCTGATGATGATGATGATGCTGATGATGATGCTGCTGCTGCTGATGAATCTTATAATGATGCTAATGATGGTGCTGATGAGGCTGACGATGCTGATGCTCAGGAGGAGGAGGCGGAGGACGAGAGCAAAGTCATGGGGTTGGTGACCTGGTTTAGGTCTGCGTGAGACAGCTCTCCGCTGACCCCCCTCAGGGGCGCTCAAGAAGGGTGGAATGAAGAGGAGGAAGAGGAGGAGGAGGAGGAGGAGGAGGAGGAGGAGGAGGACCGATTGCCTCTCCTCCACCCCGGGGCAGTGCCTCGCTGATGGCTGGTGTCAGCTGAGCTTTCGTGTGTCTGTTTGCGGAGGCATGAGTGTTTGGCGGTCACCTCCTTTGGCGTGATACTCCTGGCTCCCCCTTTTTTTCTCACCCGTCGTTGCTGCCTGCTGACGGGCCGATTTAGGTCACACAAGGCCTACTCATCCAGGCCTCTCGTTATGCCCGTGTATGTACTTCCAGCCGCCGACATATTATTGCACTGCCCTGTTGGCAAGCACGAGGGGTGGTTGGGGGATGGACGTGGCTTAGAGAATTTGTGGACGTCATGGTCGGGGTGGTCAGGCGACAGTACTCACTGGCGCGGCCCGAGCAGATGGCGCGGTCAGCTAATATTTTTCGGTTCCCAGGCGGCCTTGACACATGACTCACTTGTGCACTGCATCTATGAGTAGTAGATATGGGTAGCAGCCCTATACTTTCCTACAGGCCTTACCTACAGGCCAGTTGGCGAAGATTATGCGAGCCTACGCAAGCACACATCTAGGCATCTCACTACCGTTATAGGTGTTGCCTTGTGTTGGGCGGATCTCTTCAGGGGAGTATCTCGTATCGGGGGGCGGAGAAGATCGCGCTCCGCGACAGAGAGGGCAGTTGCCCCAAACTGTGGTCTGTCGCAATGTGTTTTGCCCTTCGCTCTCAGTTCCCGCTCACCGCCGTGTCGTTTCCATCACGGCGTTCAGAGTTGCCACTACTAGCCAGCCTTCTCTCGCCGTTTCTTAGCCAGCCACTGTACCTCAGTTCTATCTTTCAGGCCCCCCTGGATACAGGGAGTGGCCCCCCATCCAACCCCTACAGGCCAGCTGGGCTACACTGAGCCAGCTTTTTTTTACACGGGTTCGTGCTAAACCAGAAGACCTGTTACCACACGCAATGAGGTCCCGTGGCCCTGGAAGTCTGGGGCGAACCGAAAGCCCTGGGTAGCAGCCCACGAGCTGCTGCCACATGCAGTAGGCTTTGTGCATTGTCGTTCCTAGTTTCAGATCTCAGGCCTCTGCTGATACTGGGGTGGGGGAAGGTGTATACGAGGGCGGGGACAGATCAGGTTTGCGATCGTGTGGCCTGACATGAGCCAGTTGTCGGTTATATAAAAAGGGCCAGCCAGCACAGACTGCGCCAGCCCTCGCACGCACTCAGGCCTCCAACATATGCACCCCCCATCCTCGCGCATAAGTGTTGTACTGATTTCTGCTGCCCATTGCCATTTTGGTAGTACGTAGGGGGCTGGCCATCTGGGCCCACCCCATTGTGCACTACTTGCCACAGCACCAGTTCGTACGCAGAGTCTCTTTCTTCTGCCTAGCTACGCTCAGCCGCTGCCGTGCACATTCGTCTTTCAACCGGCCACACTTCGGCCATGCCAGTCACTCTTGCGCTATGTTACCGTCTCATTCACGCCTTCTCTCCCCTCCGCTGCCATTCCAGGAGGGGCTTGGATGTTTGGGTTTGGGATGGGACAGCTCGTGGTACTTGGGGCGGGTGAGGGAAGACAGGGGTGGACCTAAACAGTGTTTTGGTGATTTTGTGGGCCGTTTTCGTTTCGATTTCGTTTGCGTGAAAGGCGGATTGAAGACAAAACGATGGAAAACGAAGACAACACGAAATCAAAAGACACCGTTTTGGTGCAGCCCTGAGGGAAGACACGCACCCTGACTCGACGCTATCGGAGTGCGCGGCGAAGTTTCTGCCATACGCCGCTCTCATCAAAACTTCGGCGTCTCAGCTGTCAGGCATTCTTTCATCTACCCCACGCAGGCCAGCCAGTACCTGCCTGGCCAGCCTGATATCAGCCTGCGGGCAACCCTTCCATTGAGCCTGGTTTTCAGTATCTGCAGCGTCACGTCCTCTATTCCTCCTGAATCTTTATGCGCCCCCTGTGCCACGTTTTATTAGCTCCTTCAAATTACTTTCGCTGCCGTCCTTGACATGAGAGCTGGAACGGCAAGGGTGGGATTGCTGGCGGGAGATGGCGGGCCTCACTCTACACTGGCTGCCGGACACCGCTGGGGAACACGTGCAGGTCAGTATTTTGAACGCGTATTTAAATTTCGTTGATTATGTTCGGCTTCCTCCCCTGGGTATCGGGTATGGTCTGGGGTATTACGGTTCTGGTTTGTTGTCCTTCCCTGCTCCACCATGCGTCCTGGCGGGCACATGCTCTATGGCCAGTCGGCCCCAGTGCTCTTTTCACCGCTCTTCGTTGGTTCTTTGCCTGAGTCGGCATTTTCTTTTTTGCAGGAGACTTTGGACGCAACGATCTCCGATTCATGTTTATGCAATGTCAAAAAGGAGGAGGAAAAGGGAGAGGAGGATAGGGGAGGGGGAGGGGGAGGAGCGGGAGGAGGAGAAGAAGGAGGAGCAGGAAGAGGAGGAGGAGGATGAAAAGGTGGAGGAGGAGTAGGAGGATTTAGTAGGAGGAGGAGGAGGAGGACAAGGAGGATGAGGAGCAGGAGGAGGAGGAGGAGGAGGAGGATTGAACTATGGAGGGTGAGGACGAGGATAAGGATAATGCTGAGCATGATGATGATGCTGCTGATGATGATGGTGATGATGATGATGATGATGACAATGATGATGATGGTGATGATGACGGTGATGCTGATGATGCTAATGATCATGGTGATGCTGATGATGATGCTGATGCTGATGCTGATGCTGATGCTGATGCTGATGATGATGATGCTGCTAATGATGCTAATGCTGATGCTGGGGTGATGATGGTGATGCTTGTGAATACAAGGATGATGGCCATGCCGATGGTGCGGATGGTGATGTTGATGATGCTAGTGATGATGCTGATGACGATGAGGATGATGATGGTGATGATGATGACGATGCTGCTGATGATGATGATGCTGCTGATGCTGATGCCGATGATGATGACGATGCTGATGATGCTGATGATGTTGATGACGGCGATGATGAGGATGCTGATGGTGATGCTGATGGCGATCATGATGCGGATGATACTGCTGCTGCTTTTGATTAGGGTGATGATGAAGGTGATGATGATGATGTTGATGATGATGCTGCTGATGCTGCTGATGATGATGATTATGTTGATGATGATGATGATGATGATGATGATCAGGACGACGATGCTGATTATGCTGATGATTATGAGGATGATGACGATGATGATGATGCGTTTGATGCTGCCGATGATGATCATGTTGCTGCTGCTGCTGATGATGCTGCTGCTGATGATAATGATGACCATGCTGATGATGATGATGATGATGATGATGCTGATGATGATGATGATGATGTTGATGCTGCTGATGCTGCTGATGATGATGATGATGATGATGATGATGACGATGATGATGATGATGATGATGATGCTGATACTGATGACGATGCTGATGATGATGCTGATGATGATGATGATGCTGATGATGATGATGATGAGGATGCTGATGATGATGATGATGATGATGATGATGATGATGATGATGATGATGATGTTGTTGATGCTGCTGATGCTGCTGATTATGATGATGACGATGATGATGCTGATCATATGAAGATGATCGTTATCATCATCATGGTGGTGGTGGTGATGGTGATGGGCATGGTGATGGTGATGCTGATGATGGTGATGACGAGGACGAGGTCGAGGAGGAGGAGGAGCAGGAGGAGGAGGAGCAGGAGGAGGAGGAGGAGGAGGAGGAGGAGGAGGAGGAGGAGCGTGTAGGGCACCCACCCTCAAGGCACCAGTGTCGCGGGCGAGCCACTGGCGAGCACAGGGCGTCGCTCGGCCCACGGGCCGCGCCCCGAGCCGCGGCCGGAGGCGCCGCCGGGGCCCCGCGCGCAGCGACGGCGCGATGGAGACGGCCGTCCTGGACTCCCTCTGCGGCCTCGAGGCGCCCCCCTCTCCCTCCGCCTCCTCCTCCGCCTCCTCCTCCTCCTCCGCCTCCTCCTCCTCCGCCTCCTCCTTCGCCTCCTCCGCCTCCTCCTCCTCCTCCTCCTCTGCGGCCTCGAGGCGCCCCCAACGGCGCGGCCCGTCGGCGGCGACGACGGAGAGCGGCGGCAGGATGACGAGGACGGCGGCGGCGGCATTGGCGTCGGCGGCGGCGGCGAGGAGGGGAAGGAGGAGGAGGAGGGGCGAGGGGGGGCGGAGGAGTGCGGGGCGGGGCACTCGGGCGGGCTTGAGGGAGGAAGGTGAGAGGGGGGAAGGGCAAGCTAGTTGCGCTTGCGCCGTGTCTGACATCCAATCCCTCCCTCCTATCCCTTCCCCTTGCGCTAGTGTTTCTTTGTTCGCTGACGTGTGTTGTAGCCGACCTGGAATTCCGAACAAGACTCCTATCGTGTTAAGCGCAATCGCAAAAAGGGAGCTGCGTACATAGCAGGAGGAGGAAGTGGCGGTTGAGCAGGAGGATGAGCAGGAGGTAAAGGATGATGAGGAAGGAGGGGGACAATGACGAAGAGCACCAGTAGGACCTGGAGTTGAAGTGGGAGGAGCAAGAGGACGAAGGGGAGGCGCAAGCAACCAAGCCAGCCGGGCGCCCAGACGGTGCATCGGCATAACAGAACACAGGCGCCCAGTGCAGCGCACACCTTCGTCATGGCAGCGCTGTGTAGCTGCTGGGAGCCCATTGCTGCTTGGGCCTCCCGTGTGAACGGTTTTCGTTCCAGAATCGAGGCAGATTCGAATTAGTTTTGCACGTGGGCCTGCGCAGTGGGGGCTCCTCAGGAAGAGCGGCGATACCATTGTAGAGCTTCGCGCGCTCGAGCAAGTCCTTGCTCAGATTCTGCTCTCCGGTCTGTTCCAAAATCGCTGCGGTTCGACAGATGTTTCTCAGATGTTGCGCATGAACATGATTTAGCCTGTCCCTGCTGGCCTGGAGGGCCGACGCATATTCCGAGCTGTACAGCAGCTTCGGCACCTCAATGGCTCGATATAACCTTACCTTCCTCGCCATCGATACGTTTGTGTGTGACCAACGTTGTTAAAAGTGATTTGAATGCGCCCCTGGCCTCCCCTAGTCTTCGGGTGTGTTCTGGCTTCGCAATGCAACCTGTGTTGAGAAGACCTCCAAGGTAAAATGCCTGCGCCACAACTGCCAACAGAAGGGTCTCGGAGGGATGGTCTTCTTTCAGTTCAGCTCTAGCCCACACCGCTTCCCCTCATCAGCGTTTCAAGCAGGCGCTGAAGCCTGTCAGCACAGCTGCTGATGAGCATTGTGCCGTCAGCGTGCAGTAAATCAGATCACTGCATGAAATTTAGCTCCCGTACTGTCGGGTGTGCGCCTTCCACTCGCACATCAACGTCGAACATCATTATGCCGATGGGAAGCCGGGAAGGCAGATGAGGCGAAATGAAGGGGGCATCAAAGGTGACAAAGGTCTCGTATCCGCGCTGGGGCGAAAACACTATTCTGCGCGACGGGACCAGAAAGCCGATCCAAACAATGGGCCCACGCTGCAGCAGGAGAACCATGCGGAAACACCGAAAATAGTTAACCGGATCGAACCTCTGCGTACAAGATTTTGGGATGAATCGCAGGTCCCGAGCACTTCAGCGGCCACTTCAGTTGGTGTGGAGAAGCAGTCGGAGACCACGCCGAGCTTTGGGATCTGGCAGTGGCAAAGTACAGCGAACACGCTGCAAGGATCGCCTTGGGCGTACCTCGTGAATACAAAGAGGGGGGGCGGCAAATTGTCGGCTTAATCTTACGTCGCTCTCATCGTACTTACGGGCCACATCACAGAAATCATTTCGAGCACCCAGGAAAGTGCCGAGACAGCGTCGAACGAGTATCGCCTCCCAGGGCCCGACACGTGAAAACCTTCAAGTTTCGCTATTAGGGCGAAAGTAAGCTGGAACATCATAACCTTAGCCGAAACTGTGGCTCCCATGGAGGTGGGTGATGCACTCGGTTTAACCGTTGGTATGGCATATCCCACCGTCCGTGTGTCTCCTAGCGAAGCGGGCGCTGAGGTCGTTACTGGCTCAGCCAGTGACGCCGCTTCGGGTGCGTTTAGCCCTATCAGTGCACCTGCACGCGGTGCCGTCTCTGACTTGGTCAGTGATGCTGCCCCGGTGCAGATGCCGCTGTGGAAATAGGCCCCGCTCCTGGTGCGACTGCTGATTAAACCAGTGGTCCTGCGCCTCTCCACCGACTTCGCCTCCTCCGCCTGCACCACCTGCTCGTCGCCCTGGTGACCCAGCTACGCCACAGATATCCGCTCCTGGCCCCAGAGGTTGCACGCCGCCGCCGAGGGTCAGGCGTATCGGAGACTTCTGTTTCGGCAGTGCAGTATTCCTGGCAGATGCTCCATCAGTTACCTCCGCTCCAGTGGCATCCTCAATGCAGCGCTGTGTTGGAGCTGAAATACAAAGGGAAGATGACCGTGCTGATGCTGGAGACGTTATGATGCACGTCAAGGTCGGTGTGTCTACAATGAGAGGGGGCAGCAGTGGCAATTCTGGAATCTTCGTGACGACAACAGGAGGTACCCAAAGCAGGACGGGGGAAATGGCACTTACGTCACTTTCTTTGTGGAGATCGGGCGCAGAGAGAGAGAGAGAGACATTTCTCTTTGGCTGCGGATATGTGTGTGTGTGTGTGTGTGTGTGTGTGTGGAAAGTGCTGTTCTTAAACATCATGGGAAAATTTTGGATGAAGAACGAAGAACTTGATGCTGAGGTGGCGCACTCTTAATTTCTGGGAAACGTCAATTTGCTTCGGCTTGCTGCAAGAGTTATGCCGGGCGTAGCTGCCATCTCGCCTCGTGTTCCGTAGTTTTTTAGCGGATGGCATTTTGGGGGCCAGTGGGCCCAGGAATGGCGCGAAGTTTGGCAACGCCGAAGCGAGCTGAAAGCAGGCCTGCGCATCCAGCCGCGGGGGGAGTTGTTAGGACGTTACCTTGTCTCCGCCGCCGCCGCCGCCTCTGGACAGCGCTTGATGGTCGTTTGACTGTACGCAGCCGGTATGGGTCTAGATCGGTTGGAAACGGGGCGCGCCTTGGCCAGCCGGATCCACTTACAACATATACGAACTATCTTTTTTTTTCTCTCTGTTTTGTCGACTTACTATGAAGTTATGCTTCATTTTTCGATCCAGTCCACGGAGGAGATAGACCCAATGACATGAATCGAAGACGGGTACATACCGATCAATATGTGTGAATATTCCAATCCTTGGCGAATAATTCTCCCTCGCCCTCTACCCTGGCGCCCCCGATGTGCGAAGCATTGCCCCTCCACCCGGAGGGCACCGCGCCGCCCCGGCCGTTTCGCCGCGCGTGAGGCGCATCAGCTCGACATCGAGGGTTTGCTGAGGAAGCACAAGGTGGCCCTGGAGAGGCACAGGCTGCTGGTGGAGCGGGCCGTGGACTGCAGGGGGGAGGAGGAAGAAGGAGTGCTGCTGATGATGATGATGATGATGATGATGATGATGGTGATGATGATGATGATTACAATGCTGATGCTGCTGATGATGATGATGCTGATGATGATGATGCTGATGATGATGATGAGGATGATGATGATGATGGTGATGATGACGAAGAGGAGGATGATGATGATGATGATGATAATGAGGAGGAGGAGGATGAAGAGGAGGAGCAGGAGGAGGAGGAGGAGGATGAAATCGATGACGAGGAGGAGGAGGAGGAGGAGGAGGATGAGGATGAGGATGAGGATGAGATGAGGAGGAGGAGGAGGAGGGGGGAACGGGGATGGGAAAAGGGGGGGGAGGAGGAGGAGGAGGAGGAGGAGGAGGGAGGAGGAGGAGGAGGAGGAGGAGGAAGAGGAGGAGGAGGAGGGGAAGGAAGAGGAGGAGGTGGAGGAGGAAGAGGGGTTGGGTGATGAGGAGGTCAAAGGAGCAACACATGCCGATACTAATGCCCTTCTTTTTTTTTCTTGCCTCAAGTGCCGGACGGGTGCTGCTGCAGGATATCCCAGAACATTTCCTTCCTTGGGAACGATAATATTAAATGTGATGCGATTCTCGATCGGCTTTTCGTCGTGGGCAGCGTTATCAGCATCACCATCATCATCATCATCATCACCATCAGCATCATCAGCATCATCATCATCATCATCATCATCATCATCATTATCATCATCATCATCATCATCCTCAGCATCCGCATCGCCATCATCATAACCAGCCTCATCATCGTCGCCATCATCATAACCAGCCTCATCATCGTCGCCATCATCATAAGCAACATCAGCAGCGTCGCCATCATCAGTATCATCGTCGCTGTAGTCATCATCATCACCATCTTTATCATCAGCAGCATCAGCATCAGCATCAGCATCATCATAACCGCTAACCCGTGAGAATAAACACTAGGGGATAATAAAGTTCGGGGTTCAGGGGGAGATAATCAAAGTAGCCCAACAGACCTCAGCATAATCTCGAAGTAAGAGATGATCAAGAGGAGACCAAGCCGAGCACGTTTTGAGACATCCTTGGCGTTTAGTCTTCATAGGAATATCCTCAATAATGGCTTATCTCGCTGGAGACATCCTCGACAAATCCCTTGTTTCGCTTGCGACATCCACAAACTGTTGCTTATTTCGCTTGAGACACCGTCAAACTATTGCTTATTTCGCTTAAGAAACGTATCGTTTCGCTTGAGACATCCTTCAGTATATGCTTGTTTCGCTTGAGACATCCTCGAGTATATGCTTGTTTCGCTTGGGACATCCTCGGAATAGCTCATCCGCCTCGGTGTCCCTGGATACTCAACCGCGGCGATAATAAAGGTCAGGCGGGCGGAGGAATGGAGAAAGCGATATACACAAACAACAATAAAAAAGAAACAATAAGACATGAAAAAGAAAAAGGAAAACATCAAAAGAAAAGAAAACAGAGGAGGAGGAGAAAGAGAAGGAACAATCTCAAGTTCAAATGTATTATATTTTATTTACAAAGGCTTTATGACAATTAAACTTTTTAAGTGCTCGTGTAGGGTAGCTCATGTGCTTCATTTTCCATGGATAATCAACCCCAGGGATAAAAAAGTTCAGAGGGGGGGCATGGAGAGAGAGAGAGAGAGAGAGAAAGAGAGAGAGAGAGAGAAAGAGATAGATACATCATAAAGAAAAAGAAAGGAAGGACTTAAAGAGAGAATATACATTTAAAAAGAAAAGTAGAATAGTACATGAAAAGGATAAAGAGAAGAGGAAAGGAGGATAAAACAAACATTCTGAGGATTCAAATGTATTAAATTTTATTTACAAGCGCTTTATGAAAATTAAAATGTTTAAGTGCTCGTGTAGGGTAGCTCACGTGCCTCGTTTTCCCTGGATAATCAACCCCAGCGATAAACAAGTTCAGGGCGCCAGGGGGAGGAGGAGGAGAACGAGATAGAGAGACAGAGAGAGAGAGAGAGACAGAGAGGCCAGGAAGGAGAAAGAGATAGAGAGACAGAGAGAGAGAGAGAAAGCGAGACAGAGAAAGAAAGAAAGAGAGACAGAAAGAACTACACAGAGACAGAAGGACATTGGTTTCGCTTGAGACATCCTGAAACAACGTGTTCGTTTCGCTTGATGTTGTTATCTCAACATGAGAAGGAAGTAACTTCGATGGCGAACTTTTCCCGTGATAATGAAGTTCGGCCTCCGCGCCCCCGCGCCCCCGACCAAACTCTTATTGGTCGACGATAAAAAAACTCTAATGCCTTAAGGGGGGGGGGGGTAACATTATTATCATGGGCATGGGGTTAATCATCATCAGGGGCATCGCCATCATCGTCATCATTACCATCATCATCATCAGCCCCACCACCACCAACATCATCGGCATCATCATCACCACCCTCATCATCGCCAACACCTCCACCACCACTTCCACCATCATCATCGTCATCATCATCATCATCATCATCATCACCAGCAGCATCAGCATCACCATCATCGTCATCAGCGTCAGCATCGGCAGCACCACCATCATCATCACCCCCATCATCATCATTATCATCATCATCACCATCATTTTCGGAGGAGGAGAAAGGAATGCTTCAGGAGGAAAAGAGTGGAGGTGGTGGAGGAAGAGGAATAGGAGGAGGAGGAGGAGGAGGAGGAGGAGGAGGAGGAGGAGGAGGAGGAGAGAAGGGGGGAGGGGGGAATGATTTGATTGGCGGGAGGAGAGGAGGAGGAGGAGGAGGAGGAGGAGGGAGGAGGAGGAGGAGGAGGAGGAGGAGGAGGAGGAGGAGGAGGAGGAGGAGGGAGGAGGAGGAGGGAGGAGGAGGAGGAGGAGGAGGAGGAGGAGGAGGAGGAGGAGGGAGGAGGAGGAGGAGGAGGAGGAGGAGAAGGAGGAGGAGGAGGAGGAGGAGGAGGAGGAGGAGAAGAAGTTGGAGGAGGCAGAGGAGGAGGAGGAGGGGGAGGAGTAGGAGGGATGGGGGTGAAGGGAGGAACCATACTTTGGAACGAGACATAATTACTTTTATGCGTGTATGTGTGTGTGTTTGTGTGTGTGTGTGTGGGTGTGTGTGTGTGTGTCCTTCTCTCTCTCTCTCGCTGTTTCTCTCGTTTTCTCTCGAGCGAAATGCTGGTTACTCTTGGCGCAGACCCATGGCCCTGTGCTCGGTAGCCCTTTAGCGACCTCCTAGACTTGTCTCTCCCCCTTCGACGGCTTCCTAAACCTGTCTCTCCCCCCTTTCCCCCCCGCCGCCGCCCCCCCGCCTCGTCTCCTCCTCTCCTCCTCATCCTGTCCTCCCTCCTGCCTCCCTCCTCCCTCGCCTCACCGCCCCTCCCCTGCATCCCTCCTCGCCCCTCCCCCTCCCTCTCGCTCCCCCCCCGCTGGCGCCGCGCGGCGGCGGAAATCGAGGACCGCGCGGCCAACGGCTCCTACAGAGGCTCTTCCGCGCCGGGCAGCCCGCTGGACGACATCGCGGGGATCCCCTGCCTCTCTGCGGGGGTAGCCCGGGCGCAGCGTCAGGGGCCCAGGTCGGGCGTGGCGTCAGGGGGGAGGGATCCAGGGGGGGGGGGGGGGAGAAGGTCGGAGGCGTAGAGTCGGCCCAGATGAGTAGGTCGACCCTGCCAGCTCAAGGGCACCCTTGTGTCCTGTGCCTCGCGACACGTGCCTTCTTGCACTCCTGTGGCGATGTGGCCGTCGGAAGGGTCTGGTGTCCTCTCGCGTGTCCTGTCCAATCAAGGCCGACTGTAGAGGTTGACACCAACACCGATATCGGCGGTGTGCCTCCACCGGGGGAGCATGCTCCCGGTCTCGGTGATGGTGGTATGCATATACATATATATATATATATATAACATTTAGCTTCCCCAGTGACAGTCATTCTATGCCACTAACACCGAAGTCCAGGATCATCTTCCCCCGGTGGAGGCAGCTCCCTGTGCTGGTGCTGGTGTCCATTTCCAGGTCTCCAGGAAGGGCGCACCTTTCGTGCACCTCAGTGTGGAGGGTTTCTCCGAAGGGCTTAGGCAACCCGTCCTCCTCCTCTTCCTCCTCCTCCTCCTCCTCCTCCTCCTCCTCCCTCCTCCTCCCTTCTCCTTCTCCATCTCCTCCTCCCCCTCCCCCTCCACCTCCCCCTCCTCCTCCTCCTCCTCCTTCTCCTCCTCCTCCTTCTCTTCCTCCTCCTCCTCCTCCTCCTTCTCCTCCTCCTCCTCCTCCTCCTCCTCCTTCTCCTGGCTCAAGTCGGCTCTCCGCCGGCCTGGGCGGTACTCACCCTGGCTCGAGCTCTGCACGTTTCAGCTCGCCACGGCCTGCCGCTCCTGCCGAGAGCCTCCCTGTGCTGGAAGTCCTGTGCGCCGCCCATCCGCGTGCGGCCCCCTGGCAGACCTCTGGCAGCGCCGCCCGGCGGGCCCGGGCGCGACAGGTGGCCATCCGGCATGCGCAGGTGCAGGCGCTGGCCGTGAGCCGCCTGCCGGGGTGCAGCGCCCCGCCCAGTACAGTCGGGGCCTGACCTAAGGAACCCAAAATAAGGAACGAGGCCCCTTTTTTCCCACAAGATAAACTTCGATTTCCCATCGAAAACATAAGGAAAACCTGAGGCAAGTTGCGAAACAATTAAGGAGCACGGAACCCCTCCCCAACGAAAAGGGTTCCTTCTTCAGGGCCCCGCCCAGTACCGCGACCTCGGCTTCGCGAGCCCGCGCGTCGCGGACACCGCGCGCGGCCTCGAGCTGCCGAGCGAGCAGGCACTCGTCACGGACGCCCAGCACGACCTGGTGCCGGACACGCTCGGGATCGCGCCGTCCGTGCCGACGACCGCCCCGCTCCACAGGGGCGACGAGGAGGAAGACACCAGCTTCCTCGCTGCGGAGGCGCCGAACGTGCCGCCCGTCGTCGAGGACCACAGCATCACCAGGCGCGCAACCCTGCAGGAGGACCGGATCACCGCGAACTCCGAGGATGGAGACCTCGACCCCTCGACCAGGGAGGCGCCCTACGTGCCACCGTTCGTCGAGAATTACGGCTTCATCATGCGAGACACCTTGCAGGAGGGACAACTCAAGGACACATCCGAGGATGGAGGGAACCACGGCTCTAACACGGAGACGCAGTGCGTGCCGCCGAACTAACACGGAGACGCAGTGCGTGCCGCCGAACATCGAGAACTGCGGCTTCACCATGGAGACCACCATGAGCAACACCCTGCAGGGGGAAAAGCTTCCAGAGGACAGGGGCCCCGACTTCCTGGCCATGGAGGCGCCGCACGTGTTGCAGTGTGGTGAGAAAGACGACAGCACCATGCGCGCAACCCTGCAGGAGGAAAGGCTCACATATACTGTCGAGGAAAAAAAGCTCTTCGAGAAGCAGAACGACGTCGAGGCGGAGGCTGGCGGCATGCAGGCAGAGTCTACACTTGCAATGGTCATATGCTGGAGCTACAAGGACTCCAAAAGGAACTGGCGTAGTCTGAACGACAAAAGCCAGCACGATATGATCGAACATAGTACTTGAAGTACCCTTCGACAACACCCAACACATCGCGAAGGTTGATATGCACAACGCGCGCCTCGTTATCAATTTCAAGGCTGGGTACTTCAGACCAGCAGGGAGCCGAGGTGTGTCATAGCGCCGTGACATCAGGAGGCAGATCATCAGCTCTGCCAGGTAAGTGAACACCAGTAGCCTATGCACTCTCTTCCGAATGGGCCGCCGCGGCTGTAGTAGAAGGTGTGCTCTGGTAGTGTTGTTCGCATATGCTGAGCTCTTCTCTGTTTTGTGCCCGCCTTGCTTGCTGCATGTGGCGCCTGAGCTCGTGCATGACATTTTTGGAGATTGCCTTGCCAGCTGCTCCGCCGCTGCCCTATCACGGAAGAGGCTGGGCGGGGTGCTTCGTGGAGCGTTGACAGGATATAAAAGCAGCTTGAAGGCTGCCCCTGTCTTTCCCTGCCCATCCCTGCCGTCCTCCCCCTCAATGTTGGGGCGGAGATGCAGGGCGAATGAAGGAGAGCGGGTGTAACCCCGAGGTCAAGGTTTGGGCCGGGTCGGCCAAACCTTAGCTTTCCCCCGCAGCATGTGATGGTCCCCCTCTTCTTCCTCCTCCTGCTCGTTGGCGAAAGTTTGGGGGGAGACCCAGCCCTTGCGTCTGGTCCTGGGGAGACGGGCCTCGGCGCGGCCGAGGAGCAGGATCGCCTCGCCCCCGCGGGTGCTGCTGCTTCTCCTGCTCCCCTCCCCGCTTTCTATATTCCCAGCTCCACGTGCGTAGCCTGCTCGGCTCAAGTTCCGTGGCACTCGCACTCCTCATCGGACGTTTGGTCCCCTATTCGCGATTCTCTCGCCTACCAGATGGGTCAAAAGCACATCCTTCCCATCAGTAGTAAGTTCGCGCGATGGATTGACACGGTGGGGCGGACCATCGGAGCTCACCACGGTATCAGCGCTCCTCAGCACTCTCGGCGAGTTGGCTTCGATCTGAAGGTCATGCCAGTGCGCCAGGCTGAGCACGTGAGGGGTCAGCCGCTGAAGGACGGCGTGGCTGGCTGGTGGGGCCGCCTCCACACGGTGGTGCAGCGCGTGCTTCGCCACCGCCGACGGCGCAACGGCGAGCAGCAGGTGCTGGTGCTGGCGGAGGCGGCCACGCGCTTGGCGGACCAACCCCTAGACGGGGTAGGGTCTGCGGTGCCGCCTTCACAGGGCTGCTGGTCGGCGCTCATGACGGACATGCGGAGGCTCTGCGATCTCTCGGTGGAGCAGCTGTCTGATAGGGGAGAAAAGTGGTTTCCTGCGGCTCGGCGGGCTCAGAGTCGCGACGCAGCAGCTTCCCTGACAGAGTTTCAAGATTGGATCAGTTCGACAGCGACGCAGGGTCAGGTTCACCGAAGTATCAAGGATGGTGAACCTGAGCCAGACGAGTTCGACGACGGTGTAGCTGGAGCTTTGGTTCACCCGATCGACATTGTAGATAAGAAAGCCGAGAAGTGGCAGGCCAAGTGGAGAGGGTCAGCCACGCACGACGACATCATGAGCACCTTCGCGGACGTCAGGGCGTTCGCGGAGGTCGAGTCGTTGGGGCCGCTCGCCGTGCGGGAGCTGCAGGAAGCTCTGCGGGGCATGAAGGCCCGTGCGGGCCTAGGCGTGGACCGCCGGTCGCCCACCGACTTCGAGCGGCTGCCGCCAGAGGGGCTTCAGGACATGTGCGGCCTCTTCGCCATGGTCGAGGAGGGCCTGTCGTGGCCATGGCAGGCCATGTGCATGATCGGGGGGCTCCTAGCCAAACGGTCTGGCGGAGATCGCGTCATCGGTCTCCTGCCGATGCTGTGCCGAGCCTGGCCCATGGCTCGCGAGGTGCAGATGACGGAGTGGTCATCATTGCAGGGTGATGGCTGGGGCGCGGCAGTGGCTGGCAACAGCGCCTTGAAGGAGGCGTTCGTCGGGGCGCTGCAGGGCGAGTCTCAGACAAGGCTCAACATCGCTCACGGCCACGGCCTGCTCGACGTGGAGGCCTTCTACGACGGCATCGAGTGGGGGCCGCTCGCCCGTTGCGCAGTGCGCAAGGGGTTTCCCCCAGTCATCCTCTACCTGGAGATGCAGCTGCGCCTCATCCCGAGGCTGCTGCAGCAGCTCGACTCGGTGTCCGAGCCCTTCCAGGCCACTTGCTCCATTGTGCAGGGGCTGAGGAACGGCGCGAGGATCGCCAAGTGCCTCGCGGCGTTCGTGTGTAGTAAGTTGTGCGTCATGCACCCGTCGATGTCGGAGCGTATCTGGATCGACGACCTCGCAGCGGGTGGCAGGATCGCGGCAGCACGTCCGCGCCACGCTCATCAAGGGGGTCATGTCCACGGTTCGGGAGTTCAAGAAGCTCGGCCTGGGGATAAGTTCTTCAAGGCAGGGCTACGGTGCGCAAGCGCGCCACCAAGGCCGCCAAGTCTCATGGCGGACTCCGCCGTTTTGCCCAAGCGGCGAGGCGGTGGCAGGCCGCGGCGAAGCTGCAGCGGACTGGGCCCCAGGCGTCGGCGGTGTATGGCCATCATGTCTACGGCGCTTTCGGGGCCAACATGCAGTTGCTGCGGCGGCGCTTGGGGGCGGTCGCGGGATCCTCCAAGAGAGGGCGCTGCCTGTCCACGCTCCTGGCTTTGCGCCTGCCAGGCGCGGACCCAGGGGCTTTGCTTCCTCGGCAGTGCGTGTCCCTCTGGCCCTCTGTGTGGTTGGAGGAGCCGCAGCTCAGGCCGTCCATCAGTCTCGCGTGGCCAGTGGCGGGCAAGCACTTGATGGGCATCAAGTCTGAACAGCGGAGTCGACATGCTCGTGGGCCGCTATCCACAGTCATACTGTACCTGCTGGAGGCAGGGTGGACTCCAGTCTCGCCCGTGGAGTGGGATGTGCCGAATGATGGTGCTCAAGCTGGCTTCTCTGGGAGATTCGGAGATGCCGAGTTTACGAGTCTTGATCAGGCTTCCCCATTGCTGGACGAGCTGCAGCACGCCGTGGAGCTCAAGCAGTGGCGTCAGGCCGCAGAGTTGTATTGCGGTGAGGGGCTCGCCGACGGAGTCGATATGCAGTCGTGTAGAAAGTTCGTGAATGATCTCACCCATGCTAAGCGAGGCCGCCAGTTATCATAATTTATGGTTTCAATCGCCACTGGAGGATTCTGGACGAGAGCACCGAGTTTTGATGCTAACCTGTGTGCGAATGATGTTTGTGAACGGTGCAAGGGTGGCCGCGAGACGGCATTGCATCGGCGTTGGACTTGTGCCAAAAACGACAGCTCACCCGCATATGATCAGTCTGCGTCACTACTTCCAGAGGCTGCCGCCAACTCTGAGGCCTACCCGTGCTTTTGGATGAGAGGTCTCATCCCAGCTCCTTGGGCCTCCGTCGCTCCTCCTCCTTCCCCCGAGTCTTGGGACGGCGGGGGCCTTTTAACTGGTGGCCTCGTCGGGCCTTCTTGCTTGGGTGAAGGAGCCCCTGGTGAGCCCCTGATCGTCTCCGGGGGCGCCTCAGGGGGCGCAGGCGCCCGCGATCCGAGGATCCGTAGGAAAGGTCTGGCAATTGCTTGTTTTAGTTCTTTCGATCCCCTCGCCCTGGGGCCCCATCTCCTCGGGCCTTTGGTTGGGGCTAGCCGAGCGGTGCCCCGTGGGGAGCTCCGGGCTTTCGCCTGGGCCGTTCAGTTTTCAGCAGGTGCTCTGTTGTACGTTGCAGATTGTGCTGAAGTGGCTCGAGGGTGATACGGAGACCAGCTCCGATTCCCCTCGGGGCCTTAAGCAGATTTGTGGAGGTCTATTGCCAAGACGCTTTCTAGGCAGCAGCGGGGCTCATCAGATGTTGCTGCAATCCAAGTGCCATCGCACCTAGATGACAAAGAGGTCGCTGAGCGCCAGTGGCCGGGCTGGCTCATTGGAGGGAATTGTGTGGTGGATGAGCTTGCGAAGGAGGCTGCCCGTCGAGCTAGAGTGCCATTGGCCGACCGTGCCGAGATAGCCCGTATCGAGTACAAGGCTCGGCTGGTCAGGAAGCGTCTGTTGCGCGCAGGCCTCGACTCCATTGTCGCTGCCCAGGCCGGCCGCGACCTCGAGGGGGCCCGCCCCGAGCCGCGTGTCCCTCCACCGCCTCCCATAGCTGTTGCGCGCTTCGCGTCCGCGTACTTCCTGACCGAAAGTGGGGGATCGTGCAGCGTGTGTAAAGGCTCTGCTACTAAGGCGTGTAGGTCTGGCTGCTTGAAAAGTAAGTGCTTCTAACTCCGCTCCGTGGATGGTAGGTTGTCCCGTCTGCCCCCAGGACGTAGGTTGCACCGCGCAGGAGGCTGGGGTCGATCCCTCACACGCCTTAATTTACCACCACAGCTTGAAGATTTGGTACTGCGGCGCATGCGGTTATTTCGGTCAGTCCCAGCTCAGGGGGTTAGGCAAGCCGTGCAGTCTACCAGTCTCCAAGACCCGACGAGAATATCTCGATTGGATAAGTAGGGACTTGCATCCCGAAGCTGGGAGCTGAGCTCAGCCTTTTTTTATCCCCACGGGATGGCGGAAATCCTGGAAATCCCCCTGCTCGGGTCGCCTACGGCCCCGGGGGGAACCGTGCGCTTCAGGGGTCCTGAACGGGCCCTCAGGGGGGCCAGAAAGGGGCGCGCAGGGTGCACGCCTCCTCCTCCCCCCATTGATCGGGCATGTCCCTCTACAGGAGGAATATTTAGATATAGTAAAAGATAGTCTGGGGGCGTTTTTTACATTCTTGTTTTTGTCTGGATATTTTTGGTCAGTTTTTAATTTTTCGTCCCAGATCCGCCTGCAGGGGGACATGCCCGACCTGAGACCCAGTGATGCATCGACTTCCAATCGCCCATGCATCGCCGACAAGGTGCCGATGGGATGGCCAGCCCCGCCCAGGAACGAGGCGGACTCGTTATCGGGAGCCCATCGTCGATCTGT